ACGGCCGGCCGACCGCAGGACCTCGTGCTCCATCAGCCATGTTAGCAATCCTAGCCAAGAAAAAGACAAACAACAATCACACAACTCAAATGACCTTTCGTCATAGACTGGACTTAGTTGGGCACCCAAAGACAAGACTCCACAAACAGACTGTCAACTAGGATCCTAATTTTAATCAGTTCAAAGGGGAAATGAGGACTGATTGACACCTCCTGACTATATGACCTGTATGAACGACTCTACCCAGCCTTTGAGGGTATCGTACTTGCACAAGTTCGACCGGCCTGACGCGGGTACCACACGAATTTGTCAAGTTACGACAAAGGGGACAACTGCTGGACCAGATCAGAAAGAAACCGGTATTACCCTCACCAAAAGACACAAGCAGAGCTACATGCCAAAAGTACTCAGAAGAAAATGTCACAAGTGACAGAGCACTTATTAGGGAGACTTTACAATGGATCTGGAAACAAAAGCAAACTTGTACCGAGACGAACCGAAACAAAGGATTTGGTCAAAGTCGGATTTTTGTGTCGTTCAGTTCAAATATTTGAGACCCTGACTGCAGACACAACTCATGATTATCTGCATTCATATTTCAGTCCTGGCTTTTGTCAGTCTACCGGGGTGCTCTGGAAAATATTGGTGCTCCTGTACTCCGGAGACCAGATACAAGACTTACTGAGACAGAGTCCACCTGATTGATGCATAGGCACCTGAGACACGATTTTGGAATGTCATTCTGTCTTCAAACTAGTCTTAGACAAATAAAGAAGCACATGGTCAACACACGCAAAGGCAGCCATGGCCTGGAATGTCCAGGACCGAACGATCAGAGATGAGCATCTCCTGTTTTGCCCAATGTCAGACTGGATAGCTTGGAAGTGGCCATGAAAAGGGTAAGCGGTCAAAAATGGACAGCTTGCTCCTTCTTCCCCAAACAGGCAACAATTTGGCCACAGATGATCCAAGGAACCTTCAGATTAGTCAGAATCTACTTGATAGCATCGTCCTCCAATAAGATCAGCAAAAGTTGATCAATAGTCAAGAGTCAAAGGATGCCAGGATACCAAAGCAGAAGAGCCCCCTATGGAAACTTTGCTTCCTCCAAGTATCTATTCGTAAAGATATTACAAAGAAACATAACTAGAGTGGTGGATGCAGAACACCTGGTTATAATTTTGGCTCTTGGTACAAACCATTTTGGAGCAAAAAGGGGGTTGGCCTCTGGACAAAATTGACAAGTCAAATTAAAGCCCGTTCACAGCCGTCTTTTTCTGGTCTCGATGTCCTGTGTGTGCGGTACAGAATCGGGATGGTGGATTCAAACTGACCTGCAAATTTGCCGGCATCCACAGAGTTGTGCCATTCAAAATACGTCATTTTTAGCTGATTGCTTTCAGCTAAAAAAGGATCAAGTCCCCCCCCGCCCCCTGAGTTTCTTTTAATCAAAAAGCAACAACAGTAAAGGCTAAAAAAACAAACAAACAAAAGAAAATACGAGTGAGCTTTGGATGTTGATGCCGCTTATGACAAAAGACAATGCCATTTCGCCTGTGCCTTTCACACATAACCAAGTGAGGCGGAAGATTACAACCAACAGATGCTACCTTTCACACAGGCAACTCGGAATCCCGCCTTGAGATTTCAACACAAGAGGGCGGGGGAAGGGAGCGTCAAGTGTTAAATTTCACACTCCCCCCTCATTCACACGGGGAAAAGCCCTAAAAAAATGCCAGCTAAGGCGTGAAAGGGGATACAGACCATGAACCAACAAAGCAGGCCACTTTTACGAGTAGTTAGCGCATTGGACTTTTACAAAAACTAAAAATAAAAAAGCCCATCAGCTCTTCAAACCATTTTGCGTTTGGTCTCCAAAAAATTAAACAGTTCAACCCTTTGAAACGCAGGTGGCCATTTTGTTCAGGCATTTAAAGCTCCATTTTCCGATCCGCATATCTTCACGAGGGTCACGGTGGGTGCTGGAGCCTATCCCAGCTGTCTTCAGGGACACCCTGAACTGGTTACGAACCAATCGCAGGGAACACAGAGACGAACAACCATCCGCACTCAAACTCACACCTAGGGACAATTTGGAGTGTTCAATCAGCCATGCATGTTTTTGGAATGTGGGAGGAAACCAGAGTACCGGGAGAAAACGCGCGCAGGCACGGGGAGAACATGCAATGTCCACACAGGGAGGCCGGAGCCGGGATCGAACCCACGACCTCTGCACTGTGAGGTCAATGCGCTAACCTTTGGACTACCGGGCCGCTAAAGGCGCTGCCAATTTTGGTAATAGAAACAAAGCACAATAACGACATAAAAACACACATTGGAAATCTTTTAACGTTTCACGTACTATAAGGATGTGAAAAAAAAACAACCAAATAGTAACAGTTCCCGCATTTTATTTCTGAAAAATAGCTCAACAAATTGGAGCAGATGTGGCCATTTTGTTTTGGCATTTAAAGTTGGCTTCGCAACTGCGTTATTTCACGTGACATAAACGAGAACAATGACGTCTTCAGAACTGTTTTACTGTTTGGTCACAGAAAAGTAATAGCTCATCCATTTGGAACACAGGAGGCCATTTTGTTCTGGCATTTGTTGAGCAATAGCACTGCTTTTTCGCATAGTATGAATGACTACAATATCGATTTAAAAACACGATGGAACCGTTTTTGTGTTTGGTCTCTGAAAAAAGTTATAGTTTTTTCAGAGACCAAACTGTTTTGTTCAGTTAATATTTGCAGCGAATAAAATACAATTACTTTGCACGCTTTCATTGTAAATAAAAAAATGTGGATGATCTTGGAAATGAAAACCAATTCTTATCCTTTCGGCTTTTTCCTGAAAAACAGTTAATCAGTGATTATTAAGAAGAATGTGTTTTAATATCTTTTGTGTACACGAATGTTCTTTATCCGAGCAGAAATATCGTTTTATTAAATGGGTACCAAAATATTTGGTAGTTGCGCGCTAATTGAGTCTCCAGAAAATAAAAGCCAACCATGTGCAACGCAGGTGGCGGTTTTGTTCTGCCATTTTGTTCAACAACAAAACTGCGGTTTCGTGCAATATACACAACTAGTCTAAAACACAATATTTAAGGCACAACGACATTTAATTTACAATCCGTTTTCATCTGAGGACACTTTTAGTGGGAATAAAACTTCAGCAAAGGGCTAGCCAGCCGTCGCTACGTCGGGTACACCCTGCTCTCGGGGGCCCCCTATCGGAATGGAGCCATCAAATCCAGACTCCATTCTAATTTTTAATATAAGTGTTTGTTTTCGGCTCACCGGCTCCACGCTGACCACCTCGCATACAACTTTAATGGCTTGGGCGATAGGCGTCGCCTCTTTTTTTACGGGCGTGCGGGTGTCAAGCTTCCCCTCGCGGCCGAGGAGGCGGTCGCGGCGGTGGAGTGGCTCTGGCCGGCCAGCTCAGCCCCGCCAGTGCAGCCCAGTCAGTTCAACTCCGTCCTTCCGCTCGCTACGCCCGACGTATGAAGGTCGACCAAACGACGTGCAAAAGTGAGGGCCCGAGGCGGAATTACCTCTTCGCCGTGCTGCCTCGGCGTCCTACGGTCGCCGCCGCGCTGACGCTCCACCGTAAAATGGCTGCGACGAGAGCGAAGCGGCTGACTGAGGCAGTCGGGGAGAAAGGAGAGGGGGCGGGACACGAGGCCACAGAGGGGTGGGGGCAGGGAACTGGCCCGACAAATGTGAGGAATTCCTCCAAAATTATCCCGTCTGATAACACGACCAAACACACTGAAGACTGGCGAAACAGCGCTTTAGACAAAGACGTAAAAAATTACATATACAAATACATTTAAAAAATAGTCTGGAAATACGACGCGGATGTTAAGCCCCTACGTCATAAACAGAGGGCGGGGCTTTGGTGATTTTCGTATTTGTAGCCAAAAGTCACGTCTATACGGAAGAGGATTAGGGCCAATGAAAAGAAAAAAAAAAGGTTGGCAAGATTCTGACTTTAAAGTCAGAATTCTGACTTTAATCTCAGAATTCTGACTTTAAGAGTTTCCTAATTTTAACAAAGCAGAAAGAGAGACGCATTTTCACGAGGGAAGTCGAGAACTTCTACAAAAAGATATACATATATAGTCATACTTCTTTGGTCAAATTGGGGCAGTGCCCCACCACGTCTAAACAAAAATTACAGCTACTTTTATCAAGTATCAAGTACAACTTTATTGTCAAATGTGCTGTATGTAGATGAAATTTCCTCCCTCTTAACTTACAGACAACAAGAGGAGCCGCTACGGGTGCCGCGCCGCCATCAAAAGAACACTTAACATAAAATGACAAAATAATACAACACAACACATAAAACATCATCAATATTCTATCATTTTAACATATTGGGTATATTTTTTTAAAAATCACAGACACTAAGGTTGAGCCATATTGTCGTGCACTGGCATGGACTATTTTCATTTTCATATTTCTTAAAGTAACAATTGTACGTTATGGTGCAAATTGCACAGTGCCCCACCACATCCATCAGGATGTGCATACCTTATGATAAAGCGCCTGAACTGTGCCATGAGTATGACTTATTGTCGAAGGTGTGAGTCATGGAGGCCTACCTATTGGTGTCATGTGTGGTATTATTCAATTGGGTAGTACAACCTGTGGCTCCCACTAAAAGGTGAAAAAAATCATAGAAGCAGGGTTCACGGTTTCAAATTTAGGTTTCGAGCCAATGTTAGGGTTTCAAAGTAGGGTTTCAAGCCAGAGTAGAGGGTTCAAACTTGGGTTTTAAGTTGGGCTGTGGGTCCAGAGATGAAGAGTGGAATCCAAAGTAGGGGTTTAAACCATTTTTGGTGGGTTTTCAAAGCACGGTTTAGAGCAATTGGTAGGGTTTCAAAGTTGGGTTATGTTTTCGAGGTAGGGTTTCTGCTCTGTGAGGGTAAACGCCAAAATGGGATTTGCTGTTTCTTGATCTTATTTTTAGAATGAGGCAAAGCGTTTTTTTGAAGGACTTTATTTCTTTGAGTTGAGTGTTTTGGTGGCAAGGCGGCGGAGCCGCAAATAGACGTGGAATGTTTTGGTTTTCGTTTGAAAGGCCTCAGCAGGCGTCGGCTTTGCATACACGTCTGCAGAAGGTCCAGTGGTGCTCCACCGTGTTTTCGTTGGCCCGCTCGCTCATGTGGTGAACGCGGGAGTTGCGCATGCTAAAACCCTGAAAAACAAAATGGCACGCATGTGGAATGCCCTGAAATGATCAACACTATCAGGAAACATAGGCAAAGGGTGAGGGTTTAAAGGAGGGTTTGGGAAAGGGGTAGGATTTCAAGACAGGGTTGGGTTTTAAATTAAACTTTCAAATTACGGATTCAAATTAGGGATTCAAGACAGGGTTGGGATTTCAAAATTGGGATTTATTGAAGGATTATGGTTTTCAGACAGGATTAGGGTTACAAATTACGATCTCAAATCAGGATTAGGGTTTGTAAACAGCAGTTTGACGTTGGGTGTCATGACAGGTTTAGTGTTTCAAAATGGGGATTCAAGGCAGGGTGGGGTCTTGAAAGTGGGGATTTAAGGACAGGGTTTAAAAAAAGGGTTTTAAACTAGGATTAGGGTTGCAAAGTACAGTTTTTATCGAGGGTTAGGTTGAGAGTTAAGGTTCTTGGAGTTTAAGAAAGGGTTAAGTTTTCAATGTATGGTATTAAATCAGGATTAGGGTTTCAAAGTAGGGTTTCAGGACAAGGTTAATGTTTCAAAACTGAGTTGAGGATTCAAGTTTTGGTTTCAAACCAGGGCTAGAGTTTTTAAGTAGGGTTTCAAGCCAGAATTGGAGTTTCAATTTATGGTTAGATTTTGAATGTAAGGTTTGAAGTCAAGGTTCGAGTTTCAAATCTGGGTTGGGGTCAGTATTCTGGTTTGAAATAGGGTTTCAAGTCCTGATTAGTGTTTGAGATCTTGGTATCAAACCTGGGTTGACGTCTCAATACAGGGTTGAAAGTAGGGTTCTGGATCGAAGCTTTTTCTTTGTTGTCACCACAGAAGAGGAAAAAAGCGATGCTAACCATAGAATTGAACGGGGAAATAAATACGACTTGTGGCAAGGTAGGGAGGTGCGCGTGCGTTGGTGCATCTACCGCTTTGGAGATGAAGTCCAGCAAGCGTACGCGAAGGCTGACTTCCTGCTGGTGGTCGCAAGGGCCAAAGGTGAAGGATACCTGGTAGTCGCCAGTGTCCATCATGTGCTTGTTCCACTTGCTGAAGCTGCACAAGATGGACGACAACACACTGTGGACCTACACACACATACACAAAGTAAGGTTTGAAGTTAGGCTTTCCAATTAGGTGTCAAGTGTCTCATTGTAAAAGAGGGTTTTAAAGTACGGTTTGAAGCCAGGGTCAGGGTTTCAAACCTGAATGAGGGTTTTCATTTGGGTTTCTACGGGTATCAAGTCAGCATGAGGGTGTCATGTTAAGTTTCCACTGAGCGTTTCCATCCAGGATTGGGGTTTTGAGCCTGTGTTAGGGTTTTAATTTAGGGTTTGGTGCCAGGGATTAGATTTTAAGTAGGATTTAATTTAGGGTCAGGGTTTCAAAGAAGGGCATGTGCTCAAAATGTGGGTTTCAAATCAGGGTTAGGGTTTGAAGCTATGGATAGGGTTTCAATTTGTGGTTACAAGACATGGTTTGAAGGCAGGGGAGGGGCGACGGCGCACCTTGGTGGTGACGGTGAGCTGCGTGATGATGACGGCCACCGGGTTGGAGTACTTGGAGAGCTTCCTGGTGCTGCAGAGCTCCAGCAACTGCTCGTGCGAGCCGGGCGAAGGGGGCGGCCTCCGTCGCAGCTGCGGCGGGGGCGCCCTGGGGTCTCCCAGCCGCTGCAGCAAGGGCTCCAGCTGGTAGAAGTCCGCCTCCTTGCGCAGAAGCTCCACCTCTTTGAAGTCGCACGGCAGCGTCAACTCGGACGAGCGGAGGAAGTTCAGGATGTAACTGCAGAGAGAAATGAACACCCTACCTTGAGAAACTAACCCCGGCTTGAAACCCTAACTTGGAAACCCAAACTCACGTTTAAAACCCTACCCTAACTCTGACTTGAAATACAGTACTACTTAAAAACCCAAATTCTACTTAAAAACCTTACATTGAATCCTTTACCTTAGCTTGAATCCCTAACTCTGAGACTCTCATTTGAAACCCTACTTTGAAATGCTAACCCAAGATTAAAACCGAAATTTGAAATGCTAACACTAGATTACAACTCTAATTTAAAATCCTAACCCTATCTTGAAACCATACTTTGAAACCTTAACCCTAGTTTGAAACCTTAAAGCCAGTTGGAAACCCCACTTTGAAGCCCACACCCTATCTGAAAACCCTACTTGAAACCCTAACCTTGGTTCAAACCCCTAATTTGAAACACTAACTCTAGTTTCAAACCCTAACTCTAGCTGGAAACCCTACTTTGAAACCCTAACCCTGGCTTGACACCCTACTTTGAAACCCTACGTACTGAAAGAGCGTCCCGTCGCGGTCGATGAAGTAGTTCCCACTGGCGTCCCTCAGAGTGGGCACATCCCCCCGAAACATGGCCCCCAACATGGAGTCCGGGTAACGCCTCAGTGTCGTCAACGACGTGCTGTACAGGCAGCCGCCCACATTCAGGGTCACCTCCTCGCCCATCTTCACACACACACACACACACACACACACACACACACACACACACACACACACACACACACACACTTAGCATCATCCCGCCACATTTTCTTGCTCTTCACTTCCGAGTGTGTGGGGTGACGCACGCTCGTGTTTTTCTCATTTACCACGACGACCCATCCATAAGTTCAGCGGGCAGACCCTGTTTCTCTCGCATACAACAACCAACAACACTGCTGCACTGTTTGCACAGCAAACCCAACTTTCATAAGTAGTTGCTGGCTGCGCTTCCACAATTGAACCCCACAAAATTTCATACAATATATCCATTTGAAACCATAATGCTTTTTAAAAACCAGAACGTTGGCTTGAAACCCTACTTTGAAAGCTGAGCTTGTCTTAAAAGCTGAACTTGAAATCATATCCCTTATTTTACAATACCTAATTTGAACGCACACTCCTTGTTTAAGACCCTAAAACAGGTTTTCAACCACCATCTGAAATCCTACCATTGCCTCGAAATCTGACTTTGAAAGCCTAACCTCGGCTTCATACCCTACCACTTCTTTAAAACCGTCATTGAGACCACAGCCCTTTTTGGAAAACAAGCCCGGCTTGAAATCTAACCCTTGATTAAAACCCTAAATTGAAAGGCCTGCCCTTGTTTTGAAGCCCAAACCCTGGCTCTAAACCCGAACCCTCCTTTCAAACCTATCACTTACAACCCCAGCTCTTGTTAGAAACCCTATCCCTTGTTTAAAACCCGACTTTGAAACCCAGCTTGAAACCCTAGCCCCTTTTAAAAACCTTAAGTCTTTGTTTAGAACCCTAACCCTGGTTTGAAACTCTACTTCAAAGCCCTAACAGTGGGTTGTATATTACAGTTGATTTCTCCGTTATGCGTTAATTAATTGTGCCGAAAGTGCTGCGAGAAAATACGCATGCGGAATTAAAACACCCGTAACAAAAGAGGCTAGGCGGCAGCTGTGCTTTTCTGCTATGTTAGCAAGTTAGCACAGTAAAGAGCGTCGGAAAATGTTGACAAACAATACCAATGCGCCTCTTCCGATAACGACGCCATCAGCCACTTAACAAGCGAAAATGCGTTTGCGGCTGTCGCTGGCTTCGTCCATTTATTTTCCCCGAGCGCATGCGGGCGACCCACTTCTGGCGAGACGCTTCAAAATAAGATATGTTATTACGAACTTGTGAAGTCACAAGAATTTGAATCAACAAAGTTAGAGCATCAAAACATCAACAAACTTTCGGTAGTTGTCCTATCAGCTGTTTTTTAACGAAACAAAAAATTCCAGGGGACAAAGAAAAGGGGGGAAATATAAATTAAACCAGTGGGTAGACATACAGTATCTTCAGATATTTTTTTTCTTAGATGAAAGGTGGGAAAAATAAATAAAACCCAAGAAGAAACATATTTTGTTAAAAACATTGGACTCTTATTGTCAGTTATTCATGATAAATCACCACCTGACACAACATAATAAACAGAATGACTCCCGTACCAACAATTAAATCCATAAAGTCAACCACGCTCAATAAAAGATATCTAGATAGCTAGATAGAATATAAACTGTAAATTGCAGTACTAACTCCCTCCATGTCGGGGCGGTAAAACAAGTTGAGGCCGCACACAAATGCGGAAGTTAAATTGTTGGGCTGAGGCCGCTTCCGGTTTACTACATTTGTACTGTTTTTAAATTGGCCAGATGCTACTTGCACGCTGAGAAGCGCTTTCTTTAGATAATGACTGCTTTTAGTACATTCTGAACGCAGTCATAGAGTTGGGGGTTAGGGGGGCGAGTGCGTCGCCTCGTGCCGTTTGCGTGGCCGCTGCGTAGGCTTCACTGCGGTGGGGTTGACGTGTTTGCCCGCAGCTCACGTTAGTGATGGCTGCTGGAATAGTTTCCTTGCAAACTCTGTGACAAGTTCCAAGTCGGTTTACGATGACGAGCGAAGAGGCCAAGAGCACCGCGGCGGTCAACGAAGACGACGACGACGCCTCCGCTCCTCCGTCCGATTCCAACGAACACGATTATGCGGAGACTGAGTTCGCCGACACCTCCACCGCCGCTGAACTCCCAGCGTGCGCCGGGGATGATGAGGATGAGGAGGTGGACGATCTCCCCAAAGTGACCGTACATCGTGGCCGTCGGCGGGCCAAGGCCCAGGAGGACAAGATGTGCTGCTGCTGCAAGGGTGTGTCATGGGAAATGTTCTACTTTTATTGTCTTAACTTATTCGTGTTCTTGGGTCTTGCAATGTACCACTTGGGCCAGTCAGATCACAGGAGAGCAATTTCTACTATCACTAGATAGAACAATATCCACGGTATGTTCACCCCAAGACTCTTTCTCTGTTCCAAAAACACGCACAGTAGTTTGTTTGATCATGCTAAAATGTCTGTATGTGGAATTGTGATTGTTGATTTGTCTAGGTGTGCCCTGTAATTGGCAGGCAACCCGTTCAGGGTGTACCCTGCCTGCTGCCTGAAGTCAGAGAGGACAGGCTCCAGCGTGCCAGAGACCCTCGCAGGGATAAAGCGGTTCAGATAATGGATGGATTTGTTGTTGTCAACGGTTTTAGAGGCATTTTAAGTGTTCATTCCAAATGTAAAAATTCTCAAGATAAAATTGTAGTAAAAGTAGTCATTTCTCAGAAATTCACTCACGACTTCTTTATGACGTGGCCGCTCTTCCTGTAGAATGAGACAATATTTGAGGTAGAGATGTCACAATGCGATCATGACCTCCGCAAGTTACTTTGTCTTTTGGGTATTCTTGTAATCATGAGTCTCCTCACCCCCAACAGGTCAGTTTGAGCGGCAGGGCCGTGGCTTCAACCGGAGGGCTGTGTTCACCTTCACCACACCAGAGGCCGCCCAGTGGGTCTTCCCCGACGCCTGCGCCATCGGCAAAAAGTCGTTTGTGTGCGAAACGTGCGCGCAGGTCATCAGGACGAAATGCTGGCGCAAGAACAACGGGAAGAGGGTCTTGTGGCTCAAACCTGCTGCGGTCAAACAAGTGAGGCAAGAATAACCATTAGCGCCCCTCACAAACTCAAACAAAATAACAGGACAATGGATAAGCACAGACGCTTGTATTAAATAAAAGTTTTTATGCAGTTAGCATTGCCAGTACCAATACCGCATTATGAATTTCAGGGGGCAAAAAGACATTTTGTGCTGCAGCGCCGCTGCTATCTACTGAAAATTATGTCAAAGTGCCCTCGGCCTCCCATTGCGATTGCACGTTTGGACACGTGACATTCGCAATGCGAGCCCGAGGGCACTTTGACATCACATACATATGTAACGTATTATTGCAAAGATTTTTTTTTTTTCCTCGAGTTCCCTTTGAGCAATTGTTTGTGGGCACAGGTGAGCAGCCGCCACAGGAAGAAGGGCCAGCGCATGGGCAAGAAAAGCCGCGCGGCTCTGCTTGTGAGCAAGTCGTGCTACCGCTCGGCCTTCCGGACGCTCTGGTCGGCTAAGGGCGCGCGCAAGCCCATGATGGACTTCCTGAGCCGCGAGCTGCGCGAGGAGATGAAAACACTATCGCGCCACGCCGACAGCCCCTTCCACCAGAAGGTGTCCAGCAAGAAGCTGCTCTCCTTTTTCCCGTGGGCGCGCTGCCTCAGCTGGGTGCAGGAGCATGCGCCGCTCGTCACCACGTGCCTGCGCTCGCTCTTCCCCACCGTCAACGCCCTCGTCAAGAGCAGGCAGTAAGTGCCCAACCGGCGCACATTCAAGTCCATCACTATGAAATTCTCTCATTCAAAACTGTCCCAACCCCAAACTGACGAGATGTCTGTGTGCCTGTGCGCGTGCGCAAATGCGCAGCCAACTGTCGGCGTCGGAGGCGGAGCTTCAGGTGATGCGCCGCAGCGTCCTGACGCTGGCGGTGCCGCTGTTCACCAGGAACATCTGGACCAACAACTTCCTGCAGGCGGCGCTGGGGGCCAAGCTGCGTCTTCAGGGCTGCTCCGGACCCGCTCTGGACACCCTAAACAGCCTGGGCCTGTGCCAGAACAAGGACACAGTGCGCCTGCGCCTACACCGGTTACGTGGCACCGCCAGCGGCGGCCACAACAACAAGGCGGTGAGTCACCAAATTTCTAAAGGCAAACAGGGAGCCAATGTCAAGCCGACAATTTCCTGCACCTGTTCTCGCTGTGCCTGCGCGGGTTTTCTCCCGGGTACTCCGGTTTCCTCCCACATTCCAAAAAAACACGCGTGACAGGTTAATGGAACACTCTAAATTGTTCCTAGGTGTAATTGTGAGCGCAAATAGTTGTCTACATGTGCCTTGCGATTGGCAGGCAACCCAGTTCAGGGTGTACCCCCGCCACTTGCCCCAAGACAGCTGGGATAGGCTCCAGCACGCCCCTGCAACCCTCGTGAGGATACAGATTAGAAAATGGATGGATGGATGAAAAACGTGAATTTGTATCAAATGTAAAAAAAAAAAAAAAACAGTGAGAAACTGTCATATAGGCATGTCCAAAATGGTTAAAATAGAAAAAAGTATAAAACATCAGAATTTTTAAATTCACACAATTGTGTTGTATCTAAAGAATGACATTGATTCATGGTCACGCAAGTGAAATTGGCCCAATCAAAGCTGCAACAGAAAAGCCGGCACTGATTACTTCTTCACATTTCTGCAGATAGTGGACCTCCGTAACTTTTAATGATGACCATTTCATATGTTTTTCTGGCCAGAACGGAGGAGAAAGTCAAGAGCACATGATCGACATGGAGGAAGACGACGTCGAGGATGACGAGGAAGATGAAGAAGATGAGGAGGAGGAGGAGGAAGAAGAAGAAGAAGAAGAAGAAGTGGATGACGAAGAGGAGGAAGCGCGGGTGCGAGAGGAGCTGGAGGAGAGGAGGAGGAGGAGGAGGAAGAAGAGGAAGAGGGAGCGTGAGGAAGAGGAGGATGAAGAAGAGGAGGAAGAGGCGGAGCGGAAGAGGAAGGTGGTGGTGGTGCGTCTGGGCCTGCTCAAGGGACACTCAGAGGTGGGACGGGCCGACCTGTCGGCCCCCTGAGCATTCTGGATAAAAAGGAGAAAAAAAAAAAGATCCCAGGAAAGCACACAACAAACATCAGGACGAGCATTTCAATGTCTCACGTGCATTTTGACACATTTCAAAAGCGTTGCTTTCAACCTGTAAAAGTCAAAATTGAGATCAGGAACGTTGACTTTCTTCCTAAGATTCAAAGAAACAAAAACATACAATTTCAGGACACACAAACTCAAACTGTAACCTTGTAAATAGCAACAATAAAATCATGTTTCAACAGTTGACATGTTTGTTTTTGAACTTGTAGATGTCAACATGAAGTGTCAGTGTTTCTCCAAGGGCTGGGCGATATATCGTATCGAAGTCAAGATGTCAAAAATGACGATATTAATGTCAAAATAAAGACGATATCAGTCACGTCAACTTGCCGCACTTACATTGCATGAAAGTCTCAGTTCAACCAACCGCATTGCTCCTTCCGAGTTTGGCGTTGCATCAACCGTCAAAGGGAGGCAATGGCGATCATCTTGTGGAAGGCCACACTGTTACACCAGGGAGAGCTGGAAAGCATGCAAGAAAGCGGCCCTCGAGGACCAGAGTTTGATTAAACATGAAATCATTTTATATTTAACACTAACTCAATTCCATTTATGTGTAGCGTAATTATTTTTTGCAAACAGTTTTAGAATTAACCTAACAAGCCATTATTTTTTCTTGTTTTCCTACAATCGTACGAGCGGGTACTTGATACATTACCATGAGTGTGGGGTAATGTGTCTTTTTTTATTATTTTCATAGGTTCGTCCATGTTAAAAAAAAAGGCCCCAACTTCTAAAAAAAATTCCACTAGAAACAAATAATGGATGGAAGTGTTTTTTCTTTTAATTGTCGTAACAGTCATTTACAGTGACAGACAACATCCACAGAGCACCAGAACATAGCCTGGCCCACTTTACGGTTTCACCTCCCACTGCCTTAGCCAAGCATTTATTCAGGGTCTTGGGACAAAACCTAATTAATTCCAAAATGTTGCGGATATTTTACCTAATAAATACAGTTCATTTGTTAAACGGGACAACTGGAAAGGTGGATTGTTGATTTTATTTTGGAGTGGAAGAAGAAGGAGGAGGTGATGACTGCAGCGGAACTCGTACGTTCGGATTGTTGATTTTATTTTGGAGTGGAAGAAGAAGGTGATGACTGCAGCGGAACTCTTACGTTCCAAAAACAGCCTCTATTTACAACGTGATTTCCCCCACGTCCGCCGTTTTCTTTTTTTTTTTTTTAAACACGTTTCCTCTGCTTCATACGTTGAGTGTCTTTTTGATGGAGAAGATGATATCTTTGATCTGCGGAACGCTGTTGTCCTCCAGGATCTTGGCGTACGGCATGGGGATGTCCACGCCCGTCACCCTGGTGGCCGGAGCATCCAGGTAGTTGAAGGCTGGCCCTGAACACAAGCACAGACAAAAAAAGGAAAAAACACAAAACATATCACTGAACCTAAAAAGTAAACAGGAAGAGCGATGGTTTTTCCATCACAAAAATTGCAGGGACCTTTAACATTTCCCTGAGGAACCCCATTCGAAGTTGTGTCCAACTGGAAGCATGTTAATGCAACTTTTACACTTCAAGATTAGGACTTGAAATAAACCAAATCATTTTATCCTGGAAGCGTTTTGACTTATTACTTATGAAAATAACCTTTTCTCTAAATTAACTTTCGGCTTTTGAGAGAGAGAGGTCTCAAAAACCAACATTTTTGGGGGTGAAAAAAAGCCGTTCTCAATTATAAACAACCTTTTTGAAAATAAATGACGTTCTTCTCAAAAATAATTTTTTTATCATGAACTTTCTTTGCTTGTTTTGTGATGAACTTTTGCTTCTGATGGGTAATTTTTTACTTTTGGGATGACTTTTGCCAAAAATCTTATTTTGAGACAGACAATACAATATTGCGCACCTTCCATGATCCTGGCGCAAATTTCGGCTCCGACGCCGAACTGTGGCCAGCCGCCTTCCACTGTCACCAAGTGGTTGGTCTTCATCACGCTGGCCTCGATGCTCTCTACGTCCATGGGCCTGATGGTTCGCAGGTTGATCACCTTGTTCGTTGCACACAACAAATATTAGTGTTTGTTTAAAAAAAAAAAAAAAAAAAAAAAAAAAACAGCTGGCAGGACACGTTTGCCTTTGTACCTCGCACTCGATTCCCTCCTTGGCAAGGACGGCGGCGGCATCAAGGCAATGGCCGACGTACCGAGAATGCGACACCAAAGTCACGTGAGAACCTGAGCGACACCATAAGACCGTATCGGGATTAGCGTCAAGGTCGTTTGAGGTCAAAGGCGCAAACCAATCAATAGAGAGAAAACAACACTTTCTGAGAAGACACCAAAAAAAACCCCGGCACATACTAATATATGACAAAACATCAGAAAAAATGATGAAATTTGAATATAAAAATTGTTTAAAAGTAGACAATTAAAAAAAAAAATCTATACAATATAGAAATGAATAAAACAATTTAAATTCTCACCTTGCCTCTCCACCTTGGCCTTGCCGATGGGCACGGTGAAGTCTTTGGACTGGGCCTCGTCGGACATCTCAAAGGGGACGCCGTACATCAGCTCGTTCTCCAGGAACACCACTACGCCAGCCACGGGACACTTCATTATCAGGATTTAAAAAAAAAAAAAAAAACTTTGGTTTGTTTTGATTGATCGATGGCAGAACTCACCTGGGTTGTCGTCCCTGATGGCCGACTTCAGGAGGCCTTTGGCGTCCTCAGAGTTCCACGGACTCACAACCTTCAGACCCGGACAGTGAGCGTACCTGACAACACCGGAGGGGAAAAAAAAATAAAAAATACAAAACACAACAGCATTTTGGAAAAGAGTTTTGTGTTGTACTTTTAAATATGTAAAGCACATCGGGTTACCTTGTGAATGAAATGGGTTATGTCAATAAATCTGCCTCGCCTTTTATCTATTTATTTTTGAATAGGAATTATGATTACTTTTACTTTTGTGATTAAATAGGAAATGGATATCCGACATTACTTGTCTTACTTTGGATTTTTTAAAAACTTTTGCTTTTTTACTTAAGGATTTGTACTCATGCTTATGATGGAGATTATTACTAGTGTTTTGTTATGGACGTTTTAATTGATAGTCGAAGGGGTGAAAATGCCTCAGAGAGTCGATTGGAAGCTAATACTGAACTTCCACTCCTTGACGAAGCAATGAAAAAAAAAAAGCATTTGACTCAACATACCGAGCGTAAATCGCCGAAAATGGACAAAGTAGCAACGCACCAGGCGGCGAAGCACTGCGAGTGCTGCGCGGCGACGCCGGCCGAGGCTCCGTTGGGCCCCCGGAAGACGATGGGCACCGCCTGCAGCCCCCCTGACATGTAGTACGTCTTGGCCGCCGAGTTGATGACCTGGTCGATGGCTTGCATGGAGAAGTTGAAGGTCATGAACTCGCAGATGGGCCTCAGGCCAGCCTGGGAGGGGGGGCAAAGGAAAGAAAAAAACTTTTCCTTTTAGTGGAGTACTTTATTCAGAGGGCAAGTTATCCACCACGGAGAGACGCTTACCATGGCCGCTCCCACCGCGATGCCGGTGAATCCCATCTGGAACATACGACAAAATTCTCAAATACTTCCTCAAATGTGCTGTTGGTTTTTTTTGGGACGTTTTGCACAAGAGCTTACCTCAGAAATAGGAGTGTCAATGACACGCTTGTCGCCGTATTTCTTCCACAGGCCACGACTCACCTACAAGCGACACACACAAACCATCTTTCAGTTGATGCAATATCACGAGAGCCAGTCAACGTAATCACACTTTTGCTGCACGGAAAAGTATCCCACCACACAAATTACAAAAAAACCTATTGGCGGGAAACAACAAAAATAATAGATGACAAGTAGAAAAACAGACAAAACAAAAAATATATTAAATAAATTTAAATGAAAGATAAAAGAAACAGAAATATGTGAACAATACAAAAAATATGTCACTAAAATGAAAGTAGATGAAAAATACCGAATTACAAAAATAGTGTAAAAAAAAAAATGCAAGAACATTTGAAAAAAATGAGGAAAAAAATTAAGGGGTACAAAAATAGAAGGAAAATGCTACAATTTTAAGAATTGAACAAAAAACATTAGAACGCTAAAAAATATACTTTTTTTCTTTAAAATGCGTGTAGCGTGATTTGTTTCCCTCCTAAAAGGTTTTCTTGAAAAAATAAAAATATTTTTTTCAAATCCTATTTTTTCCCTTCAGCTTTCTTCTCGTAAGGTGAAACTTTTTTTAATCATTTATTTTTAAAGATGAGGCTTTGATGGAAAAACGGCTTGTGAAGATGGCGAGGGGACGTTTGCACACCTTGTAGGCACCGTCATACTGGGCTACCTCCTCCCCCAGCAGGAAGACGCGCTCGTCCCTCTCCAGCTCCTCGTCCAAGGCCTGGTTCAGGGCATCTCGCACCGTCACCTGACAACATTTTACACCAGATAATTGACAGGGGGGGGGGGGTAGTGACATCTATTGCTTGATGATTGGTTGATGTCCTTTATCTCAAGGGTTGTCAACGTTTACCGCTACTCTGGTGACTTTTTTTAAATGCAATTCAAGCTAAATTCTGCTTTACTAATGGAAATCATTTTCACATCGTTTTCCATACGAAAAGAAAGGAACCACCAGCTTGTGGCGTTCAGGAATTGTTTTTCAGTTGATGTCATCAGATAATTTTAGCGAAAGATGTTAAGGCTATATTGTAATAAATGGTAAAAGGTTGGGGAGTGAAACAATTTAACAATAGTACAGAAAGACAACCAGCAGAAACGCGTCCTCGGTGGGGAGGCAGCATACTCCAAAGATGTAAAAAAATAATAATAAATTGTACGTCAAAAGTGACGTAAATGTGCCGTCAATTCAAATCACTTGTTAGTTTTGCAGCGGTGACGTTAGCCGAATAACTGCGAGCACTGACTGACCTGAACCGCGGCCGGGGCGCTCCGGTGAAAGGCCCGTCGCCGCAGCACCAACACGGCATTCTGTGGGACGTCAGAGAGACGATATCAACCCTCAACATCACCAATACGACATATCTGACGTCTTTTATATGTTTTCGTACCCTTCCGGAGCTGAGAACGGACTTCACGGACAGCGCCATCTTGAACCTAACCTCGCTTTACCGATAAGAGGGCGAGGCTAGGAAGAGAATGATGAGATTTCAACCAATCCAAGCTGCGGTTTTCCTGCGGTGACCAGGAATTGTGATCACAGAGAGCCAATCAAAGTGGCGTAAATGTTAAACGGGGGCGGAGTGTTATTCAGAGGCTCCAAGGGCACCCTAACGCTGTAACGTTAGTACGCATGCGCAAGCACACAGCTTTAAGGAAGTAGGAACGTCGGCCACAATACAGTACAGTATTAGGTACCACTGAACAAACCACCTCATCCAGGGCAATTTATATTCCATTTCAAAATTTGGACAACCAAATATAGATCACGGGCAGAGAATGTTGACGTTATCCATACTTAATAAAATCTAACATTTATTCAGAACTGTTTAATCATAATTATAACATATACACTACTACTGTACAATAGTCCATCCATTCATTATTTGATTCAAAACCCCTATTTTTTATATTTTACATGCACCTAAAAAAAATAATAATTTAAGTCCATACATTATCTTTTTTAAACCTCATCCATCTGACCAATAGTTGTTTTTTTTTGGAAAACTCAGATGTTGCCTTTGAGAACAAATGTTTGCCAAAACACTGAAAATTACACATAGAAATAAACAGGTATTTTTTAGACTGCGCTTTGAACTGTGGGGGTGAACAAAATTTAAGACGGTGTATTATTATGCTCAAAGCATCACACACTTTATTGTTTAATATTGAAGTCACAAATTTTGCCTTTAAAGGGTAAAGTGCTGCAGAGGAACATTCGGCCACAATTCAAGTGGAATGCAACAGGGCGCAAAAACAAGCCACATACATTCAAACAATTGCTGACGCTTGGAAAAAAAAAATGCCCTCCCAAGTCCAATCTGTAATGTTAAACACAGACATTCATCTATAGGCACAGGGATCATATCACACATATATGGCACAATAAAAGAATAATAAAAGCTCTGATGGTGCAAACCTTTTCGCATGACATGAGTAGACATTGTTTTATATATATCTTTTTAAAAAAGTCATACAAGGACAGTTCTTGGAAGTCTTGCAATTGACATGAGCAAGCACACAGCTGATGTGGTTCAGTTAAACATGTCTTGAATGGGTTGAACATATATACAACTGCTGTATAGAAAAATATGTTATCTCCAACTGTTGTGACTTTTCACTCTTGGCCAAAGCAAGTTTCTGTGCTTGTTTTGCAGTTAAGATGACACAGATTTTCCATTGGATTAAAAAATAAGTTTTGCCAATCTTTTTTTTGGGGGTTGGGGGGGGGGGGGGGGGGGGGTTACAATATGGAGGTACTTTCAACTGGATGTTTCTGCACTGTATAAAGAAATACAATGTAAATTATTTTCATTCATATTTACGGCAATGGTCCCTCCTTTGTTTTTGGACATTCTGCTCGAAAATGCCAGCAGAAACACAAACTATAATTTCTTTTTTTTGCATTTTTAAAATATAAAATATGAAAAAAAGTCTTTTGTTTATTTTTGTTGAGAAACTTACACTGGAGATACATGCTCTTATTGGACATTTTTCCATAAAACTTTTTTTTTTTTTTAAATGAAGAAAATGGAAATTTTTGAGAAAAAAAACATCATTTTGCTTGTTTGCCCAATTTACAAGGAATTTTTTGTTTTATTTAATTTTAGAAACGCTTTCTCTAGATAATACGTCTCGGTCAGAGCGAAGATGACGTTCTAGTTGCAGAGTTGCAGGCTGGGCAATCAGGAAGCCGCCATAGCAACAGATGTCTGGATCGAGAACAATCTGGAAGAAAGCAGCTGGGTGTTATCTTCGCCACACAAGGTCAACCTTCACATTTCCAGCATTTGGCAGGTGGGAGCTTGTTTCGGCTCCGTTCCCAATGTCAAAAAACAAAAACAAACAAACCCAAAAAAAAAAAAAATCCCGGATCGGGATGCGAAAGTAAACACGGGGATTGTTTTGTAAGGGATTTGTCTTCACATGTCAGGGAGCGTTGGAGGACAGCGACGGTCAGAAGACGGGCCGGCTGCGGTCTTCGGTCTGGGCCTTCTTCAGGTTGCCTTTGCTGAAGGCCTGGATGGAGCTCAGCAAGGCGGCGCGACCTCCGGGAAGAGGCCCGGCCGCGGAGAAGGAGCAGGAGGACGAGGAGGACGAGGAGGTATCCAGCGCGGGAAGGGGAGGAGGTGCGGGAGGACCACCTGGACCAAAAGGGGGACAACCAAAACACCCGACGGATAAGAGAATGGAACAAACGTGAGAAAAAAGCTCTCTTTCTGCAATTGCGCAAAGATGAAACGAAAGGGGTTAGGCATCAGCTCCTTTCACGCCACCTGTTTTCACCTCCAGTGAGCGCAACGTCCGCTTGAAACCGCAAGTCTTTCCTCACTGTCTGACATGAAATCAGACTAAACGTTTCCTGTTCTAGGTCAATTAGGATAACCCAAATTATTTCTATATGCTCTCAGTCAGAATGACGAGAAGACCATTTGTCATGACCTTTTTTCAAAGTCTGAAGTTTACAAGCATCAGTGGTTGCCTTTAACCCTTTCATACACCCCGTAACCTGAAAACACGGGACGCTGTCCACTGTAGTTAAGCGCTGTCCCTGAAAGGGTGTAAAACTCTGTAACTTGTGTCCAACATTTTCAATATCCTTCCACACGTTTCTCACAGTAGTTAGCAGGAATGTTGGCCTGACAGAACTGGTAGAACTGAGCCAAACTTACAGGCTGCCTTGCTCAGAAGCCATCTTTTCAAGTCTGCCCATCAATTTTTAATCGATTGAGATCAGGACTTTGTGGCGGGCGCTCCGAAAACAATGACTTTGTTATCCCCCCCCAACATGATGCCGCCACCCCCGGATTTCACAGTTGGGATGTTCAAACTTTTGAATGTTTCTTCCTGGCAGAGTGGCCATGTCATGAAAAGACTGGACGCAGTCTTTGCAACATCTTCAGCCTGCGCCTTCACGAGATCTTCCGCTTTTGTTCTTGGGTTGGTCTGCGCATTTCGGATAATTAATTTGCAAAATTGGTGGAAGGGAATGATTACGGCACCTTTGGGTATCTGGCAATTACGCCCAAGGATGAACCAGACTTGTACAAATCCACAATTCCCTTCCTGATATCTTGGCTGAATTCCCCACAATGTTGCATAAGAAAGCAGTGTCTTTCAGACACGCCTTGAAAAACATCCACAGGTGTGTCTTTAATGGCTGCAAATGAAACCAATAAACTTTTCAGACGTTTCCAAAGACAGACATGATCATCTGTTTTTTTTTCCCCACGTTGCTTACAGGCTTTTTAATCTTCGTGGCAGTAAACTTGTGACTTTGAAGAAAGTCATGAAAAAAATCCGACAAAAAAAATCCATCTCTCATTAAACTGGAATGAACCTAAAACAGAAAAGTTTGCTCTGAATTGCTGTTTTATATCGTATATGTAAACTTTTGGTTTTAACAGGAGCTATTCTTTACCTCCAGCTAGAATGGAGCAGAAAGAAAGCTGATTGAGACTAACCTTTGGCGTTTTCAAGGTATAAATGATGTCTTTTGAAATTAGAAAAGTGAAACGTATTCAACAACCAAAAAGGAGGACTTCGATAATGTAGCTTTTGTGGAACAACACAGTGATTGTTCACCAGTCTGGCAGCAAAAAGCTTAGGACACAAAAGGACATTAAAAAAAAAAAAAAAAAAAAAAAAAAAAGAAGGCAGCATGCTAAGAGCCCAAGCAGACAAACAGACACTGTAGGTCACAATCTCCAATGAGAAGGTATCAGTTCGAATGGGCTCGTATGACGTAACGTTGCTTCATTGCAGATTGTGAGGCTTTTGAACGCCGTCGGCTTCCGAGCAAGCTGCACTCGCACTCTCATTGAATTCTCATCGAGATTTCATCGATCTCTCGTTGGCTGCGTTGGGATTCATTCCCTATTTATCACCAAATGGGGATTTTTCAATCGTAGGCAATTTAGTTGACCAAAACGGCCACTACAAATCCCAACATGGTGATTACGGAAGTGGGAAATGAGTAAATGAGAATCACCACGTGGCTTTTTTTTTTTTTTTTTTACAGCAGACTATCATCAGCAAAATAGTTTCGAGGACACACAGCTGCAACTATTTGATATATAAGAGGGGAGTGGGTATACTACACAGCACCGCGCTACACAGGGCACTCCGAAAGCAGCCACTGAGTTCTCGTTCACGTCCTTTTGCTTCGTTTGTGCTAACAGCTCTTGCTGGGAAGCTTGTAAGTACGACAGCTTTTATTTATTTATTTATTTTTTTAAAGCCCACCACTGACAGCCACCAGCATCATCATTGACGTCATCATCATCATCATCATCATCATCAAGGTGGGAAAAAAAACATTTACTTTACCCCAATGACACGGTCAGAATGGAGCATGCTCTACGGTGGTGACGCACGGGATAGAGAGAGAGACCACAAATAAATGAGCCATCAGCAATGAGACAGCAACAAGAGGAAGACAGGATCAAGTGCTGAGTACATTTTGCATGTTGTTTTTTGTTTGTTTGTTGTTTTTTTTGAGGGGGTGCAACATATTCATGATCCATTAACATGATCCACTGGTGAAAGGACACTTTGTTCCTTCTCCTCTTTCATCTAGAACTCCTTCAAACAACAAAACATATGAGGGAAAAGTGGTTACGATTGCACGACTGTCCGTGTTTTTATGTATTGTATTGTATTGTACTGTATTGTCTATTTGATCAAATCTGTGCTGCCATCTTGGATGATGTCACAACGCCCACTTCACAAGACCCTAGTTGAGTCTGCGTGATTTGATTTCTCATTTGCTTTTGTCCATGACGTGTCTGTCAGGGGGAGAAGTTTTACTTCAATCTTGTTTAAAAATACATACAGTGACACCTTCACTATTGAGCGACCTGATATTTGAATCTTTTGGCAACACAAGCTGTGATTCAGCTGTTTTGGGGGTTTTTGGGTCAAATTTTAGCTACGAGTGGTAAATGGAGGCGGACAACTTTGCAACAAGCAACGGATAATTAACACCCACCGCACATCCCCAAAGAGGGTAAAAACTTGT